AGTGTCGTTAATGGAGGGTGCACCAGCTGAGGCGATGAAGAACGATGTTTATGTGGAATTGCAGATTGCTGCTGGAAGGTTACTGGGATTAGTGAATAAAAATCCAAAAGATGGTGTGCAGCCTGCGGAATGTGCATTTTCTGAAGTGTCTTATGATGAGTTCATTTGGAGCGATCCTTCAAATATCTCTAAGTTGGTTGCATCAGAGGAGGCAGAGTTGGCGAGGAGGAAGTTCAAGCAGATGGTGGCTGATATACCCTCCTTTAGCCTTGGCATCACACAGGATGGTGCCTTGCAAGGAAGTGGTGATCACCATGTGGTTGATGTTGGTAATTGCAGCAACAGTCCATTTACCCCTGTGCTTGGAGTTAGTAATGTGAATCAGGAACTCGCCAATGCTTCGAATGAACCGAGAGGGTGTGGTGAACCTGGAACTAACTTGCATACGGTGTGTAATGTGTTAATTAATGTTTTCGTGTATGCGTGACTTTTCTATTATGAATGAGTGTAATAGACAATGTTTTTGATCACTTTTTCTTTGCATTTTAGGAAGGTGGGGAAGCATGTGGCCAAGGGTCGGCCAGTGCTACCATAAGAAGACATGATCCATCAGTAGTATGTGTATTATTTGAATTTTGATTATTAAATTAGATGAATGGGTGTGATGGTAGTTGGTATATGCACAAGTCAACAAAAATGAAAAGGGCATGATGGATAATGTTTTGGGAGAGGCACTGCCTTCCAAAAGTGTGACTGTAATAGTTAATTGGTTCAATTTTTTGAGCATTCTGACTAATGTTTATTTTGTTAAAATGGTCATTTAGTATTGGAGTCCTAGTGAATATGTAATGAAACTGCTATATTAATGATGTCTAGGAGGTGGAAAAGAGAAATGAACAGCTGAAACCCGCTCGGGTAATTAAACCAGCAGAATCTCTACGTTCTCCGTACGTGACAAGAGCAGTGGATTTGAATGATGGTTTGAGTACTGTAGAAAAGAGATTGGGGAGATGGATATTTAAAAACAGTAGTGCTCCAAGGTATGATGTAAAGAACGGTGCGAATGATGTTTTTTGTGTCTAAATATGTAATAGCTAGATATTTATTTGTTCAATGTTCTCTACATTCGCAGGGAGGAAGTTGTTTTTAAAAAGGGTAAGTTTTGGTTAAGTAGAGAAGATATTTGTAGTCTGGACATATTGAAACACATTTCAAAGAAGGTGTTGGATGCATGGTGTGTGATTTTAAATCTTCGTGAGAAGTACCGGAGCAATACCTCACCACTACGATTGTTTGCAAAANTTTATTTGTTCAATGTTCTCTACATTCGCAGGGAGGAAGTTGTTTTTAAAAAGGGTAAGTTTTGGTTAAGTAGAGAAGATATTTGTAGTCTGGACATATTGAAACACATTTCAAAGAAGGTGTTGGATGCATGGTGTGTGATTTTAAATCTTCGTGAGAAGTACCGGAGCAATACCTCACCACTACGATTGTTTGCAAAACACTTGATTGTGTAAGTGTTATGACAGTTTTTAAATCTTACCATTTGGAAGTTTTTGTTTTCAATGAATTTACTGACTTTGAGATGTATAATATGAAGGTTGTGAACAGTGGTCATGAAGATAATTCATTGGAAACAACGAGATTGATGTTTAATGATGCAATGAAATCTGCTTGGGATGATGCAGAGGATAGCTTTAATTGGGGGAAACCAGAATTGATAGGAGACATTGATGCAATTTGAAAAACTAGTAACAACTAACTATAATTAAGCATGGTTAAAAAAATGTTTTTTGGATCTGTGGCCTCGTTTTAGGATGGCTATATTGTTTAGGAAACTGATAATAATTGGTTTCAATGAAATGCAGTTCTTTTTCCCCATAATGCAAACAAACTGGTGTTATGTGTTGTGTGTGGATCTGAAAGGCAGAAGGTGTGACATTCTGGACAGTTCATCTGCGAAAGCCAAGAATGAAGAGCGATATGGAGAAATGCCATCACTAGTGGTAAGTATGCAGTGCCCAGATTTATTTATGCGCTGAAATGGATTATTTCCTGAAGTTAATTTTATACGTTTTGTTTTGTGAAAGCTGAATATGTTGGCCAATTTCTTGGAGCATCATGGATTTAGAAGCAAGGCAGCCTGTATACGTGAACTTCAACCTAAAAGAATTGGGCTACCTTGGAGGGATGCAAAGCAAGTGTATGACTACGGGGTGGCAACAATGCGTCACATGGAGACATACATGGGAGAGGGAGCGAAGGGATGGGATTGTGGTCTGTCGAAGCTAAATCACAAACCACTTTTGGTCCTACGTATGAAGTACTGTGCAGCAATTTTACTCCACGAGGTGAACGAGTTGATGGAGATGGTAGAAAATGAGTCTTTTAAAAACGATAAGATGCTTAAGGGGAAGAATGTTGAGTGAAAAGCAATTCTGATCCTCTGGTTTCGTGTTGTTGACGGGGTGTTTTTGTTGTTGTTTTGAGAACTAAGGGTTTTGTGTTTTTTGGTTGATTTGTTTTTTGAGGGAGGAGCCATTCCTTTACATGACATGGGTATGTTGTTTTGGACGTATGCATGCGTTAGTAGTGGTAGGATGATCTTCTTTATGTGACAGATGTGTTTAATGCTCTGAATTATGCACTACCCTTGGTAATTCTTTAATTGCCGTGTATTTTATTTAGAAATCAACAGTGGAGTTCATCCTAGTAGGGGAATGTTGGCTGAAGAAGAGGGGAGAGTCGAGGTTGCCGGCGTGAGAGAGAGAGGCCGACGGGAGAGATGACGGGAGTTTCAGGGTTAGGGTTTTAGTGTGGCTCCGATACCATGAAGAACAATTAATTTCTTTAATTTAATTGAGTTGTGGTATATATACAAGGGGTGGGGTTCCAGTGCCACTAGCGGTGCCACCGGCATTTTGGGGCACCTCCGGTGCTCCGTTCGCAAAATTGACGATTCATTTAAATTTTTTTAAATGACTTTCTATCTCCATCATTTCTTTTTCTTTTTTTTAAAGATTTGTCTAACTCGGATATAAATAAAAATAGATATAAAAAACAATGAAAAAGAGAAAAATAACTGAATTCATACCAGTTAATGAAACAAATAAGTTAATCAATATAAATTAATCTGAAACTGGTAAGAAAAAAATAAAAGTATGTGGAGTGATGAGTTTTAACATTTCACGTACTATACAGAGCATTAATGTACTAGTTGTTCTTATTTTTAGGGAAAATTAACCAGAACAGAACCCTTCACTCCTTATATTTGTGCTTTATTCTTACCAGTGTCAGTTTAATTTTTATTAATTATTTTATTTATTTTATTAATTTTGTATGGTTTTAGTTATTTTTTTCATTTTTTATATTTGTTTTTTTTATTTTTCTAAGGTAAGACTAATCTTTAAAAAAGAAAAAGAAATGATAAAGGTCGAAAGTCATTTTAAAAATTTAAATAAAAATTTCAAAAAGAAATTGAAAATTTGCAAATTTAAGTTGTGATTGGTGGAATTGTTTTCGAAAAAATGGGTAAAGTTAATCCCATGCTTTAAAATTTCCGTCGAGATTCTAGAATAATGTCCTGGAGGTATTTTTGCCCTTCCATAATTTTTTTCCCTGCAACACTACATTGAAGTTCACTATAATCTCTGCGGGTAAACTATCTTCGCCCTTATCGTTTCGTATTTATCATACTTTAAATATTTGACAAGGATTTGATAATGTCGTTAGGGTTGCGCTCGTGTCTAGGAATGACTTTTCTCCATTTTTTGAGAGGGGGTTTCCATGAGTAGTGATGAGATTGTTGCTTGTTTCTTTGGGGCTATCCACCGTTTATCCTGTAATCGAGCTCTTTTTTTCTTGGATTAATTTTATTTGCTGTGAGGTGCTCATGATTTTCTTTGTGGTGTTTTCAAGCTATCAAATCTAAGTAAACTCTTGTTAAGTTTAGTAGGGAGTAACTTATTTCCTTGGATGCTTGTATGAATTTGAAAAAAAAAACATTTGACATTAAAAAATTTCTAGTGCCTTTGTTTGTGATTTTCTTGATGCCATTGATATTTGATATGATAATTGACCTGGCTTTTCTAACAGGATACTACCCATTACAAATTTTGTTCTAGATTCCCTCAGAAATGATGCAAAAATGGGTTGCCTTTTATAAATGAAATCCAGATCCTCTAAGATTTGTAACGTTACTTCTGGTTGGAATGAGGGAGACTTTGAAGCTAACCTTGTAAAGGTTGTGCTTAAACTAAAAAAAGTTGTTATGGTAATCATATAGGAGACTTAAACACCACTGTATGTCACTACTGTTTATTTAGAGAAATGAAAGTTTTGACTAGAGAAGATGGAGCTTTGGCATACAAGAATGTTAACATGTTACAAGTTGTGTTCTAACTTGTGTTTCAGAGTTCTTGTTTGTTGATAGTTTCTGTGATGTGTCAACTTTGTTTTAAGAGATATTATTCCTTATTACACTTGGTCGCTCTTGGATGCCTTCAGTTTATCCATTACTCGTGTCCTTTTGTTTACTTAGCTTAGAAAGCCCCTAAGAAAAGTGCCTGCAAGTGGGTCTTGACAATCTTGTTTTGTACAGCTGTGCTGGTAATAGTCATAAAATAAGAAGCTTAGGAATGCAATAGAAATATTGCTAAAGATGGACAATATAATAGCACCTGCTTCTGCTATTTCTCATGCCTCTTCTCTTGGCTTTGAACATGCTGCTGCCCATGCCACTAGTGAAGATGAAGAGAAAAAAGGTTCAAAGATCCTCCCGGGATTTATTTTCTTGTGTAATGGAAGGTCAAAACCAGAATGTTACCAGTTTCGTGTTTTTGGTCTCCCATTGAGTAAGGTGGATGTTGTGGAAAAGATTAAAACCGGCACAAAGCTTTTCCTGTTTGATTTTGACTTGAAGCTTCTATATGGTGTTTATGAGGCAACTTCAAACGGACAAGTGGGATTGGAACCTCTTGCTTTTGGAGGCAAATTTCCAGCACAAGTAATTTCTTTTTCTTGCTATAAAATATTTCTCTTGAAGTATCTTTGAAAGAAAAAATGTAAATTGTCTGACGATTGCAGATGTCTCTAGACAAAGTCTCATTGCCTAAACTGGAATTTGATGCTACCCTATTTTCCTTGGGTTGATGTGATTGCTGATGTCATCTGGTTGTTTTTACATACTTTACCATGAAGCATGGTGTTTAATGACAATTCATAAAGTATCCTGATCACATATATTAAGAAGCTAAACAAAAACTTCAGCCCCCTTTGGCGTAAGGGCTGAAGGGCTTTTATTTACATACCATGTGTGCTTGATGTGGGTGTTCATTGAGTTTTTCCTCTTGTGCAATTTTATTTTGTTTTTTAAGATTAATGTGCACATGTTTTCTGCTATTGTTGTATTTATTCCTCATCATGTTTAGTGATCCAGGGAAGAGTGTGGAGCACAAAATTTTTAAAAATGATTAATTCTTAATCATTCATAGAATTAGTTTCTGATTCATTCTGAAACAGTTTTTTTCTTCTCTTGTTGTGGAATATCTGTCATGCTTGTAAGCATATTTGACTTAAGGATAATGGAGAAAAGAAAAAAAAACACAATTTGTTCTTGTTTGTTATTCCATCCAGGTACAATTCAGAATTTACAAGGGGTGTCTTCCATTGCATGAGACATCTTTTAAACATGCAATTAAAGATAACTATAAAGGCTCCAAGTTTAAGCAAGAACTTGATGAACATCAAGTAAGCATTCTTGTTTTGTTACGATGATAAAGACTGAGAAACATATTTGTGGCTTGAGTGACTATTTTGTGATTTATATCTCTTTATGTAACTGACAACTGTGCACGAAACAGGTCACACATCTTATATCATTGTTTCGTCCCCTCTCTGAATCATCACCATCAGCTGCACCCATTCCACCAGCTAACATTTGCTCTACTTTGCCAAATATGGATAATCAAAAGGGCATTCACCTCTTGCCAATGAAACAGCACGTTCAGCACTCACCAACTCTGCGATATGGGGAAGATCCTTATGCTACCAAAATTGAACAAGTTCATTTTCAAAACATCCAAATGCCACAGCATGGCTGGCAGGGGAACGTACCTATTAGAGATCATGGCCAATTTGCCATTCATCCAGGATTTTCAGCCCCTAGTGAGCGATTTAATACTGCAGATTCTCAATCACATTTCACGCCATCCCATTATCCATACCATACTGCAAACCCTAATCTCATGCCTCCCATCCTCCAATATACTGCAGATGCTCAAGAACAAAATATTGCAGCTCATATTCAGCCATATCCATCTCACGAGTCTCAAAAACTAAATGTGAACGTTTCCGATTGCTCATATTATACTGGAAGTGCTCAACAACCAGATAATACCACTTCTGGCTACCCATATTATAAGACAGATTCCCAACAAGTAAATTGTGCAGCTCTGAGTCATCAATATTATTCTACTGGCTCTCTGGACCCAAATGTTGCCGTATTTAATCGCATGTCCTATACTGCGAATCCTCAACAGCTCAATACTACAGCTTACGTCCAGCAATATTGTTCTATAGATCCTCAACCACTAAATGTGGTAGCGACAATCCACCCTTGCTACACTGGTGATCCTCAGCTAGGAAATGTCACAGCACCTGCTCAACCATATTGTATTGCTGATTCTCATCAAGACTATGTTATCAATGGTTCTGCACAACTGAGACAGGAATGTTATATTAGGTACTACTCCCTTAATTTTGTTTTAGCTACTTTATCTCTTGCATTTCCTCTTGCAAACTAGTCGATTGTCCCCCGGCCTTTTCTTAATGGATATTGCAGTTTTTTCAACAAATTACTCATATTTTGGGTTATTCCTATATAGAAACTTATCTATCTATGTAATCAGCTGCAAATCAGATCCTGATTTCTAACCAATTGTTTTCTATTCCAAAGTATTTAATATTTCTTGAATGCCGAATTGCATAAAAATGAAGAATAATGCTTAGTGGCTGCTATTGATTGGGACAGGTCAGTGCAAGAGGCAGTTCCCCAGGATCAACTAATGGGATCAAAACAGAATTCACAGCCATTGCCCGAACAGATGCATCAACGGGCTGCTTTTGTCAACTCCAACCCCGTTCTCCCAACCCCTTATTTAATGAACTAACTAACTCATCATGAAGCTCCTCAAGCAGCTAAGCTTCATCTAAATTCTCACTCTACAACCTGTTATTAAGTAGTATGTGCAACTAATGAATCAGTTCATTATTTGTTTTTAGTGGAAGGTTGTAGAAATGATGAAAACTAAGTTTCAGCACTTTGTAGTTCTGCTTGAATGGTGTTGCATTATCTTTTGGAAACAGTTTACATCTGCCCTAATGTGCTGCAGGGAAATGATGAAATTAAAACCCAATGAGAATCTGTGGATATTTTCAATCCTTAATTGTAACGTCCTAGAAGCCTAAGAAGTAGTCACTAATTTAAGTAAATAAATATTAGTTTAATACTCATGCACATTTATATTAATCTTTCAGCATTATGTTTTAGGTATTAGAAGTACTTGTGCAATTTTACATAATCATTAAATGATGTCACAGTAGTGCACTAGAATTCATATTTCCTTTCATGGAATACTTGATTTACAAACTTCTTCTCTACCCCATCCATTGAAACTCCATAGTTCAATTCCGAAAGAAGGGAGATAGTTTTGGTTACTTCTCTCGTGCATTAGAGGGCATGTTTCACTCAATAAATGATGAATTGGTAGAGCTTGGCAGACTGTTTCAAAGTGCAAAAGGTAAAACAGCTTTAGCTCTAGAGCTTTGTCATGAATTTGTAGATAAATTTCTTTAGCATCTTAATGCAAACCTGTATCTACCCTTGTTGACACAAAAGGGAAGTTGTTGTCTGCCTCTCTAAGGCCCCAACGCCAAACCCCATTTTTTGCAGTATTTCACATTCACTAGACCTAATATTGCATATGCAGTCTATCAGTTTTGCCTTTTCTTGTATGATCTATGACCTTCACTCTTCAATGCCATGAAACGAGTTCTTCACTACTTGCATGTTAGTGCGTCTCATGGCATCTCTCTAGCTCCTTCAGCATCAGATTTCCTTTGTGATGACTTGGCAGGCTACCTTGGCATATAATTGTCAACTTTCGGATATTGTGTTTTCTCAGGGGATATATATCTTGGCCTTTTAACGACAATTGACAACCTTGCACTCCAATACATAAGCTGAAAACGCAGTCGTGGCGAATGTAGTGGCATACAACGGTCAACTTTCGGATATTGTGTTTTCTCAGGGGATAATCATATATCTTGGCCTTCTAAATGACAACTGACAAACTCGCACTCCAATACAGAAGCTGAAAACATGGTCGTGGCGAATGTAGTGGTTGAAAGGTGTTGGGTCTCCAACCTACTAACTTGAGCTACATTAACCTCTTTAGTGTTCCACTTTAGTGTTCTGTAATAGTGTTAGTGTTTTGTACTTATTTGCAATTCTCGTTCAGCACCAGTGAATCTAGTGGCTGATCCAGGATCATAGGTGACGGTGACTGAGAGCACTTTACTATTGAGGTTCGGGGGTCATGCCTTTGGAATTTTTTTAAGTAACAAAGTTAAAACATAGCAGATAAAATAAAACTTAAACCTAATTTTCTACATCAGAAAGGCAAAAAAAAAGTAGTCACTTATTAAAAAAGTACTCGGAGTGTTGGATTGAAGCCTAAGGGGCGGGGTCGGTACGACCATTAAATAAGGTTTGTTAGGTTTGTTGTCGAGAATCAGAAGCTCTTACGAAATATTAGAAGCCCTTAAGCCATCTTTTAGTCGGTTATGAGGGGATTATTATTATTATTATTATTATTATTATTATTATTATTATTATTATTATTATTATTATTATTATTATTATTATTGGATTTGACAATTTGGCTTTGGAATTGGGGGCACCTTATTCAACAACCCAAATTTTTATTCTTTTTTACACTAGGCATAAAGCCTTCATAGATCCACCATCCATCGAGTTTTTTAAACAGATAGTTTTTACAAAGGATTGTCATCTGGTGTTACTTTAAGTAAATTTTGGGCATACAGCTAGGAGAGTGTATATGGTATATCCGGATGTACCTAAAGATAGGTACATCCGAGTAGTACTCATTCTGAAGTAAAGTAGTACTCATTCTCGTATCAACATAAGCATTCATTTTGAAAACCATGTTACTCATTCTGAAAAGCAACAAATATTTAGACATTTAGTCTCCACACAGGCATAATCTTTTTTTTACCTTTTTTATTTTTATTACTCCCTCCGTCCCAAATTATAATGCATGTTCACTATTCACATGGTCAAACTTCATTCACTTTCTTTCTCTATTTTCGTTAGCAATTTGATAAAATAAAATAAAATATTATTGTCACTACTAGTTTTGTAGATATTTTGATGTACATTTTTAATATGTAATTTTTATTTTTTAATTCTATACCATTTGTCATATAAAATGGTTTGAAAATAATTTCAATCAAACATCGTAAACCGAAACAGACATTATAAAATGGGACGGAGGGAGTATATTGTAATTTCTTTGGGTGACTTATTGTTAGAGTGCATCCACATCAAAAGTCCAAGAGTAAAATAATTAGTATATAAGCTCTTAAGGTTAACTAACTAATTGATTGGATTCAATCTTTTAATGTGGTTCAACCCAAGTATCTTATAGCTGAATCCAGTTGTCCATACCCCATCCTAAATTTGATTATGGTATTAGAGCATGTTTTGGCACACCTCCTTTGTTAAAGTGTCCGTCTAGACGTTCATTCCTAGCGGCCCGTTTGTCTTTAGCCCAGTTGTGCGTATGGAGTATGTACCCAACGGCTTGTGGCCCGTTTAACACGATTGCTCGTTTGGAAGTCCATACCCAGCGGCTTGTGGTCTCTTAGGTGTTAGCGCTCAATAAAAAAATTCAAGGGAATAGGAGTTCATTTGCAAGTGGTCAATCGGTTAGATTCAAAATGGCTCGGTTGTCCACTTGAGGGGGAGTGTTAGAAGGCATCTCACATCGAAAGTCCAAGAGTAAAAATAATCGGTATATAAGCTCTTGGGGTTAACTAACTAAATGATTGGATTCAATCTTTTAATATAGTTCAACTCAAGTGTCTTATAACTCAATCCAGTAATCTCTACACAATCCTAAAATTCTATCACTTATAAATCCGATTTATATAACTATTTTGCATTTATGAATGCACATCCTAAACAACCAAATGTGGGGCTTGTGCAATTGCTCAACTCCCACATCCTAACAGTGTGGCATATGGGAGATGCATAGTTTTTCTTTTCCTGGGCAGAGTTTGGACAAACATCCAACCAACAACAAAAGAAGATTGAACATTAACACTTTCATACGTTAATACGGAGTACTAAAGCTGTTAATACGGATTCATGTATTCCAAGCTTCTAGTGGCACGCATATTCTTTTTGGCCAATGGAGCTAAGGTGATTGGTAATATAATGTTTGGCCAATTCCATAGCGCATTTTATAGTATTTTTTTTTCGGTTTGAGGGTGTAACAACAGGACCAAGACCACAAAGAGGATCGGTGTAGCCCAACAAAGCGGAGATCTGGAGTTTGATCCTTGCGTCAAAAGTCTTCTCAACAGGAGCTCAGGCGACATGTCCCGTGGAATGGTAGTGGCAGTTAGAGGTGGCAATCGGATCGGTTTCGGTTTGTAATAATTCGATTCAGATATCTTTTGAATATATATTATAATCGGTTCGTTTCTGATTTAATTCGGTTCCATCCATTTTTTTATTTCGGTTCAGTTCCGGGTCTATTCAGATTCGGTTCGGATATCAATCGATTAGGATCATTTTTGTTTCGAATACATTCCGGTTTGCAAAAATTTCGATTCGAATATATTTCGGTTCGGGTATATTTCGATTTCGGATGTATTTGCATGTATGTTATTTTCGATTTAAAATTTAATTATACGCTCAATTTTTTGTAAATCTATCAAAAATTTATCACCTCATATTATTTTATATTTTTGCTAATTACACTACCTTCATCCGAAATATCTTCCATTTTGTCTTTGTAGTCATAGTTTATAAATTTAGTTTACAAATTATGAAAGCAAAGTATATTTTCTGATATTACCATACATTAATATAATTGGATTACCAAATTATATATAATTTGGTTAAAATATGTTAAAATTGAGTGAAATTGAATGCAATTAGATAAAATTTGAGTGAAATTAAATAAAATTCAAAGCACATGCTTTGCCAACCACACAATATTACATGAGAGGGGGGGGTGAAAAAAATATCTTTTTAACCGTGTTCTATTTTGTATAAATTTTAACTAATTTTTTATATTTAAGTTGTATTATTCATTTTTTTACCAATTTATAAATAAAACAAATTAAAAAAATATGAAATTTAACATTTTGTTTAGATATGGTAATTCATTTTGGGACATAGAGAATAAGTAATATAAGTATATAACTAGTTCAAATGGTAAAAGAAAAGAAAAAAAATTGGAATCACATGAAGGATTAACTCAGAGCGGACAATATCTTACTAATGCAGGATTAGAGTTAGGCACACGTGTCCCAACAGTGCATATGCAGATCTTACCCCTACTCAAAAGTAGAAAGACTCTTTTCAAGAAACCCTCGGCTGAATCTGCACAAATAAAAAGATCCTTAGAGATAATAAAGCATATGAAAAAAAAGATGAGCCTCATCCCCGTGGGTCCTTTCAGGCCCGACTGGACGGTTACTGACAAGAATTAAATTGGACTTTGATCGCAGATTGGTGATAAAGGCTAAAGAGTGGAGTCTACACCTAATAGTTGCAGATGCTCTGTGCCTAATAATAACAAAGCATTGAATAGTTCATAAGAGATGATAGAGCACATATAATAAAGTAGGGAAAACACAAAGTGAAAGATTAAGATCTGCGTATTCATTCATGCCCACCGAGGGATGAGTACGTCCCTTAAGTTTTGATTTGTTTATTGTGTTGCTTTATAAAGGGATCGTGTTTTTGGGTAAGAAAAACCCCCTAAATAGGAGTAAAAGATATGTCAAATCCCAAAATAGGATCTCAAACTTAAACTCTACTAAATAAGAGTAATTGTTCTAATCTCTATTAAAAATATTTTACAACATATACTTAATTGAAATAATCTTGTATTAATATATACTGTACATAATTTTATTTAAATAATGGTCCAAATATATCAAATTTTAGTATGGATAAATGGCCGACCTTTGAGGCTGCTTTGGTGCATGTCGCTGAGAAGGTCTTGCAACTTCTTGCGCCGGAGGTTTTCGCTGTCGTCAAGAGTGTTGTTGGAGAACAACCTCTGATGACAGATTTTCCTCAGGTCTTACCAGACCGGGAGGAAAACCAGGCTGGACAATTTGTGGTCGTGAGCGGTCGGAGAACATGGCGTCATGGGTGTGGAGGATCTCCTTCGCCATGTCGGCCGAGGAGACGATCACGGTCGTCTCCCGGCCGGCAATTTGCACCGGCATTACGGGACCGTACTCCTCCGCGAGCTTCGCAGTGTCTGCTGCGGCTTGTGGAACAAGTCCGAGAGGTTGGAGATGAGGGTAAAAATGGAAGGCCCGGGTGGAAGCTTCTTTTGGTGTTTGGTTTTTGTGATGGTTCTTAGGAGTGAGTGGAGAGTGTATAGTGCCAAGAAGAGGAATAGCACTCCACATGAGCTCATTGAATCCATTTTTCTCTCTCCTACACATTCTAACATGTGTCCCATCCGTGCCCATGATTCGCATGAATTTGGTTTGACATTATGTCATTGTGTAACATTGTAACATTATATATGAGCATATATGACATTATATATGAGCATCTATGTTATTATATATTGTCATATGTGACATTACATGGTGTCATGTTTGACATTATTATATCCTTCTTTGACAATGTATTGACTGTGAATGTGGTACTGTGGCGACGATGGTGCATATTGTGATGGTAGTGTTGTTGATAATGGTATTGAGTTTGAGCAGTGATATCGTCGGTGGTGACAACAAAAATCAAAGGCGCCAATGGTAGGTTTCGTTTGTAGCAGTGCGACGGAGCAGAGGACGGCGGTGGTGAAGATTCAAGTGATAGTGACAGGTATGTGGCGGCAACGATGGCGGCGGTGGGCATCACCCTCGACGACGATGGCGGCAGTGGGTGTCGCTATCGGTAGCATGCTATTGTGAAATTGGCCAAATTTTTTTAGTTTTGAACTTGGCCACCACTGGTATTGGCCGCAAATGCAGCGCGTGTGGGGAGCATTTTTTGTTTTATTAATTAAATTAAAGTATTTATTTTAACTTTCTATAAAAAAAAATGAAAACTCAAAAACATGACTTGCAAAAAAAATTGCCGCATGCACTGGGTATGTGAATGTGCTCCTTACTTAGTTCACAATGCATCTTTAAAAAAAATGTTTTATTTTTTTGTTTTATTAATTATGTTTTACTCCTATTTAGAGTAGTTTAAGTTTGAACTCCTATTTTGAAAATATGACATATGTTTTACTCTTAGTTTGTTCCTTCTCCCTTTTGGGTAGGTATGTACACCGGTCCAGAACTGGACCGAACCGGACCGGAAAAAACCGAAGAACTAAAATCACCTAAAGTCTAGTACCGGATATCAGGCCTGTTAGATTCTAGTCCGGATCGGTCCAAACCTGTTTTCTGGTCCGCTCTAGGTAAAAATTGGAAAACCCAGAATTTATTATTTATTTTTTTGGTCAAATTTTTTAAACTTGTTTTTCAACAATGTAGCTTGATTTGAATTGATTAGAATCCTACTCTTAATGTTTATATTTATTGGGCGTGTTTCAAGAAACCATATTAATGTAAAATATTTTAATCAAGAGTATGATAACTTTTAAATAAGTTTTTTGCTTCTGTTAGTTTGTGAGATTTCAAAAATATTACTCCGTATAAAGTTATACTTAAAACTATTTCGTTTTTTGTAAGAATAAGTGAAATTTCAAATTATCGAATACTCTAAATTGAAACATTATACTTCATTTTTTTGAAATTGTTTTAGTTTTGTAGAACTATGGAGATTCTTGGGTAAAGGTCAATGGTTGTAATTATAAAAAGTAATGAAAATCAGTTAAAAATTACATATTACATTTAAAAGATTATACTCCATAATAAAATAAGAAGAAAAAAATAAAAACACAAAGTTATATTTATAATCACATACNGATTTCAAAAATATTACTCCGTATAAAGTTATACTTAAAACTATTTCGTTTTTTGTAAGAATAAGTGAAATTTCAAATTATCGAATACTCTAAATTGAAACATTATACTTCATTTTTTTGAAATTGTTTTAGTTTTGTAGAACTATGGAGATTCTTGGGTAAAGGTCAATGGTTGTAATTATAAAAAGTAATGAAAATCAGTTAAAAATTACATATTACATTTAAAAGATTATACTCCATAATAAAATAAGAAGAAAAAAATAAAAACACAAAGTTATATTTATAATCACATACTTCGTATTAAAGGTATTAGAATAAAAAATTTACATTCCGATCTTACCGGTCCGACCAAGAAACAATTTGGTCTTGGATCAGAATGGACCGTATTTTTACCAGTCTTTAATGTTAAGACCGGAGACTGGTCCCGAATTTACCAATCTAGCCCAGATGCAATTTTCCAGCCCGATCCAACCCGAATTTTGTACACCCCTATCTATATGTGAGAAGCCCTAAGTTAACACATACGGAGTATCTGGTTGATGCATTATTATATGCTTTTATTCGCGAAATAGGAGTTAAAATGCATTTACATTACCAATTATGAGTATTTACATTACGCAAAATGCACATGTACAATGCCATGTTACCACAGTGCGAATTCCTATTTAATGAATAAAAATATGGAACTCCTATTTAATGAATAAAAATATGAAACTCCTATTTTGATATTTTCTCTATGTTTTAGTCATATTTATAGTAATTTCTTAACTTTTTTTAATCAAATTAAACAAATTTTACTCAAAAAGTAAATAAACATTATACTCCCTCCGTTTCAAATTAAATTACGGAGTATCTATTTATAATTCAAAAGGTCAAGCTTTATACTTTCTTTCCCAATTTCATCAGTCATTTGATAAATAAATGTAGTCATGTCAAAATTAGTTTTGCAAATCTTTTGATGTAGTTTTAAATATATAATTTTTATTTTTTAATTCTAAACCATTTTTTATATAAATTGATTTAAAAATAACTTCAATCACAGAATTTAAATTGGGAGGAACAGAGTTACACATATTAAATTATTAATACAATAAATCATTTTTGGAAACTTTAATCTCGCATTAAATGCTGCGTTAACTGCAATCTATATTTCTTGTCTGGCATTTAACATCTAAGGTGAATATGAATACTTGTATACTCATAGACAAACTAGTACAACAAAAAAACATTACTCCCTTCCCCTGAAAAACTACACTTTTTTTTTCACATCTAAACAAAATTTGATCCTACTCTCAAGTTTCAAACTTTTCTTCTACTCCCGTAAAGTTTTTTGGGGATAGGGGGAGTACTTCCAATCTAAATTCACTATATCAGATGATAAAAATATTTGACTGATCATTCCAGTAAATGTTTGCTCAGAATCCATGATACTAACAAAACTCAATTTAAAAAAAGGAAATAAAATTTCTGATGGAGAGGAACAAGAAATCTTAGCAGTACAGAAATACACTCCATAAACTAACTTAAAAGACCCGAATTGGCCTTCCCATGGTAGTCTTCAAGTACAGGCACCTCACCTGTTTTGACAACAAAAGACAATGAATCAACTTATGTTGTAGTCAAGAACCTCTTTTAACAATGGAGACGACTATTGGAAAATGTCGTCAACTATTGCTATATTTTTAAATTTTCTTTAAAGTTTACTAAATTTTACGTATCTAACAAGTTCGGCAAAAACAACAGGTATGATGAAAAGTAGCTTTTGGCAAGTCATGTGAACTTATTTTTTTAGTTTTTTGGTAAAATCCTTTGTTGGTTTACTCCACTGTTTTCCATTACCCTTTTTAATGATGACTTTTTTTAGTAAAAGAGGAGTCTTCAAGCAGGACTCTTTTTATGGGGCATTGGAACTAATATGATTATACTTACACATTGATCAAACATTTACAAAGTATAGTGAAAAAGGGGAACGATGCCATAGAATAGGTTTCAAAAAGAACATCCAGAATTTAGAACAAAAAAACTTACATTTTGCCAGTTCTTCTTGAGGAGAGAGACAAGAAAGTTGACACTCATTTGAACATTTTGAAACACTTGCTTCTCCTCCATGGACACATTACCAATAGCCACCCCCATGCAGAGCACCTTTTTCAACTGAAATTTCACTGTTGCTTTAATCTCATTAACCTTATTCTCTAAGGAGTCTTGGTGAGTGACCAATGTTGGGAACTTTCCTGAGATCATATATATGAAAAGGCCAAAATAATTATATTTTTCATTTAAAAACTCAAAGAAACACGTGTATGAACGAAACCCAACTTCAAGAATAGATTACATGCCTGCTTTGTTAAGACCAGGGCCCAAGAGACGGGGGATTTGCTTGATCACAGCTTCAGATGCTAAGAAGGCATGGTACTTTTTTGCAAGCTTCTTCACCAGCTTTTTGTTTTTGTTGAGTTTCTTCAGCCCTTCCACATCCATATACTCCATACCAATTTTTTCCGCCTGCAAGGTAAGTTCCGCACCAA